TGTGATGACCGCGTACAAATAACCATGCCCAGAAAACAGTTAAAGGGGAGAAAAATATCTATATGAAATCTAATGGGCAAATTAGGAAATTGTAGTTACAGGAATTCAGTTGCTACTTAGTGTTTATAGGGAAGCACAAAGAGAACATCAAAATGCCTGATCACATCCCATCTGTTACTACCTCTTGCTGGATAACATCTTGGCTGCCAAAAAAGCTATTTAAATTTACGACATTGCAGCTACTGATAAATATCACTTCTGTGAAGATCTAATACTAAATAAGGCCTAGATCTGAGGATAAAGCTTACAAGCAGTTCTGTCAAAAAGATCCAAATTTTGCTTAGTATAACACCTGTACTCCTACAAGCCTGCAGCCTCTTACTCCCCATCGGTGATATGTTTTTAATAGAGCAAACAACTGTAAAACAGTCCTCAAAAGCTGGATCATGTCAACAACGGAAAGAAATAAAGCTAGAATGGAAAGAATGACAAAAAAGAAAAAAGAAAAGGTGCTGGGAGGAGGTGGCGGAGAAGAGGAAGGCTACTATTCAACAATTTTGGAGGTGGTTACTCCAGGCACTTTCCACATAGATCTGACAGGCGCAGAATGGTGCCATGAAACTGCCTCCAGCAATGGAATACATTTTCCAGCACATCACAGCAGCTGCAACGGCATCAATTCTGCTTGCAATCCATGTCCAAACAGAAAAGTTCTCTGTGGTCCTATTTCAGCATATCTCAAGGACTAATTAAATCCTCATTACTATCTTCTAATTATTCCAGTGCTCTGGGATTTCACTGAGCAAGTCCCCAGTGGTGCATTAGATGAAAAGGGTTAAATAACCTGTGTTGATTTTGAGACTCCAGATCTATTTCAGACCTTTAGCATATCATCAGCATTATCATGAATATTTAACTACATACTGCTGTGAAAATTATAAGGGGAAAACAATTAAAGATTTTTAAAAAATTAATTCTGACCCATATACATTTGCACTAATAAATAAGGCTTCTTTAAGTATCCCCATTATGAGAGTGCTTGCCAGAGTAATAATGTGAAATCATTAACCATTTCCATTACATTCAGTGGTTTTCAGGAGCTCCCAATTCACTATTTTAATATAAGACTGAAACCGGACATGTACATATCCAACTGCATAAGCATGAAAAATACTACTTAAAAGTAGGTAAGTTTTCTAAGCTTTTTCAAAATCAGGTAAGGAACCATGCATTTCTGCAGGGGTAAAAGTGCCTATTTCAACATTATTGTGACACTTGCTCTCCTGTTAGAGTTTGCAGAAGCGAGTGTTCATATACACAGATGGACATCTCCGTTAGGTTACAAAAGTAAGAGCAGTAGCGTAAGCTAACGGCCGGGACAGAAGGCTTCTTTTTCATGCTGCAGCTTAAGGAAACTGATTTTGGGGGTCAATTTGGATATGCTGGATTTCTCTTCGATCCATACAAATAACTTCTAACCCACTGAGCAGTTCTGGCTACTAAGCACATCCTCAAAGAGTGGCTTCCAAAACCCAAACAGATGAAATAAGTAGGTACGGCTGAAGATAGGGAACTCAAGCCACTGTGTACCTCAATTACTTGCCAAATGGTCATGACAGCTGTGGCATCACTGCGGCCCTACCTCTGGGCATTGACGTAACTGAAGTTTATAAAAAGCTCTGACTTCAACACACACAAAAAATCAAAACTCTGCTTTTGATCATAGTAAAGAAAAATCTGGAGTAGCTGTACCAGAAACAAAGAACAAAACATGCATCCCCCTTTCCCCCAAAAGCACAGCAAGTTTCAATGACCAGCTTAATTAGTTGTGACTACACTGTCGTGTGGGATCCCCAAGTCATGGTAATTGCAGGGATTCAGCAGCAGTTAAATGCACGTGTAGGTGAGCTGCCATGGCCACTCCTGCTTCTCCAAGAGACTTCTGACCCCAGTCCTGCACAGCTGCTCCCTCCGTCTCCAGAGCTCCCCGGCTCTGACAGTCCACTAACGCGTATGGGACTTACCTCAAGTCCCAGTACTTTGAAGGACACGTGAGCAAAGACATAGGTTATGCACATAAAAGTACATGCAATTTCTTCTTGTCTACGTAGACAATGTGTGTTGGTAGAACTGAAAAAGTTTCATTGATTGGGCACCAAACAACAGTGGCCAGTTACCGATTCTGAGATGAGAACAGAAGTGGGCTGCCTAGAATAGCATGCTCCCTTCACGCTGACCCAGGTCCAAATGTCCTACAGCTTGAGTGGGACATGAAAAATTTTCAAATTATTTTTTAAAAATAAGCATTTTTATGCTTATTACAAAAAGCATAAAATAAGCTATATAAAAAGGAAGCTGAAGAGCACAAAAAATCCAGTCCCTCAAGAAATTCCTATTACTGTACACAGGCACATACATTACCACTCCCCTCCTTCCACACGCGGAATGTACATGCCAAAATACGCTCATTGCTTCATGCTGCACTGTATGACAGGAGATGTATAGTCTTCCGCAGGCAAACATAAAAATCCCAGCTGGGTGCTGAGGAACCATAGAAAGTAGGGCAAAATATAATCAAACACTTTCATAATAAAATAAATAAGTGTAAACTTAATGGTTCAAGGTAGTGGTTTAGCATCCAGAAGTGCTACAGCTCAGACTCCACCTGTCAATCAAGCTTCACAATATCTGGTAAGTAACGTTTTTTTCAAGTATTGAAAGCAGACAGTTGTGCTCAAGAAATGATCAGTAGTCTTTTGTTCATTCAGTTCTCTCTCTAAACAAGGAAAGAAATGTCACACAAAATGCTAACCCAAACAACATTACCTTACTCTATGGAGGGTCTCTGGTTTTTTTGTTTTCATTTTCTTTTTTTTTTTCCTTTTCTTTTCGGGAGAAAGTGTATCAGTAAGCCAAGAGTTTAAATTACTGTAACAGATGCCTATGGATCAGGCGTCCTTAGCAGCAACGATTTTCTGCTCAGGTTTTTATCAGTAAATGACAAGCACCTTCCCTTTGAGTCCCATCACTCCCCCTCCTTCCTTTCTTCAAGTTCAGTGGAAACCAGTTCAAGCAAGCAAAGGAATCAACTAATGTAACAGCCTTTTTAAAAGGTGAAGTTTTCCATTTCAAAGGAGCCTCTAATCAATGACAGGGTGCAAAAGGGAACGCACGCATGTTTATGCGCGTATAGCACAGACTTTAGAGAAGCTTTGGGGAACATGTTCTGCAAAATCGATATGTCCCAGCTAGCTGCAAATTTCATATCTGCTGCATGAAACAAATGGACTTCTGCTACAAGTTGGGTCACAAGGATCATGCCTATTACACCAGAATTTGCATACAAAGAGTGCAAAAACTGCAATGTCCCCAAACACATTTTCTCTAAGAACACACCCACAATTCTCACCCCTCTGCACAGAGGAAGAACCAGACTAAATCAACCTGTAAATTTTATTTCTCTCACTGTTATTTACCTCTTTGACTTCCCAGTTACGGCAACTGTCTTCTCCGGTTTACTTTTGAATACCCCCTGCCTCTCCCGACCATACAATGTCCCCCAGTTTTTTTCTACAGCAGCAACGGAGAGGTTCAACCCTTCCAGCTCCGTCAGACCTGCCTAACTCGTCCCCCAAAGCCAGGTGAGGAACACCCACTGCAGAAATAATTATTACTGGGCAGTGTAACACTTTGTGCCAAGACCCAGTTGTGCCAGAAAATGCACATTTTGCTGAGATGCTTGGGTCTGCGAAGGCTCAATCTGATCCGTTCCCGCTGCCGTGTGACTTTCTCTCCCACAGAGCATCATGTATTTGTATTGAGTACTGAGGCCATTCTTTTTTCACCAAACATGTACATTATTCCAAAAAATTTTTAAGGGGAAAATAAGTCCCTGCACTAACGATTGTGTATAAAGAACGACTGAAAAGGAAACAAAACAAATGAGCTGAGTGCCGAATTCTGTGTTTTGTGTGCTCATTAATCAGCATTCCTGAAGGAGGGGACATCCAACACAGAAAACCAGCAAAAATTAAGACTCTCTCTCCTCTTCTTTGTGAGTCCTCTTAGTTCCTCCTGGATGCTATCCCAGAAATTTGTCATTCTGTGAGTTCAACATGTTTCACTGTGAGAAAACTTCTAGCATTTATGGTATTCCCATATGGTGCTATTTGGAATATTTCTGGTAGCAAGACATTTTAGGAGGGGCATTTCATAAATAACTCCATGTTTATCACAGTTATCATGTGTCGGTTTTGCAAGCTTGTCGCTGGCACATGTTAACCACTGCACGGACAGGATGCCCGGTCTACAGCAGTTGATCGTGTGTATGGCCACACAACAAAGCTGTGACAACTCTATTCCATGAGCTAGGGAGGAAGGAGACGAAAGGAAAAGGGCTTAAAGGTTATAAATAGTAACATTAAGGAAAAAAAAAACCCTCTGTTTATTTTTGTGAGCACTTGCTAGGAAGCACCCTTTTAGAACAGTGCCTACAAGGTTTTCCCTTGCAAGATTTCCAAATCTTTGAACCACTTGACCTAAATAGTTGATTTCCCTTTATATTTAAAGATATTTTTATTCTAGAACTGGCTAGCGCACTAGCTATCGTGTCCGTCCAAAGACATCAGAGATGAGAATTTTAAGAACAGTAGCAAAACTGCAGTGATCGTAGCTACTGCTATTTCTATACATCTTAATTCCAAGGTAGACAACAAAAAGTTGAATTGTCTAGGACATGACTCAAGTATTTACTGCTTTTATACTCGGGGCATTCACCGTGTTTTGAGAAAGCCTTGTTCTCCAATTATATTTTGGTGAAATCTGCTATTCAATTGCTCTTTCCCCAGCAAAGGAAACCCCCGAGCCTTTTACAATGAGGACTGTCATTATTTTCCCTGGGAAAAGAAAAGAAATACCAGGAAATCTCACATCGCTAATGTGCGACTTAAAATGAAGGCTGCATTTGGCACCAACTACAAAAGCCCCAACACCTAACAAACCTCGGTCCTGTGGCATTGGTGACTGGCTCAAGGCAGGGTGGGAGCTGGATTCTGTCTGGCTGCCAGGAGGCTGTGGTGGCATCTGACTGCCTGGAACACACAGAGAAAAAAGGGAAAACAGACTTGCTTTTAACATTGCAACGCACAAACCCAAGCCTTGCTGCATTTTTCAACCACTCAACGTCAAAGAAAGTACCACCTGTGTAAGGTAAAGACAGACCTCAACAGGTCTAGCTTTTTTCCTTCTTTTTCTTTTTTCTCCACCGCCCCCCCCCCCCACCCCATGGACGAAAAATGTATAAACATATTTAGCAACAGGCATGGCAAAACGTTCAATTTCATATTGAGTGAGTTCCCAACCTCACCGACATGATCCAATTTATAGCTGCAAATCTCCCGACACATATTCCTGTTGGAGTTTAACAAAATCCAAGTCTGCTGAACAATAGGACTCATCCTGCCGAGCTTAAACTGGCCTCCAGCCAGGCAGACATGGACTGCTGCCAACAATACTACCAATGAAAAATTCAGTCAATACAAAAGTGACTAACAACAGTTCAAAAAGTATTTCAATGAACCAGTGGTTTTAATATTATTTGAATGTCCATGCAGAGTATGGGAATAAAGAGTACTACGTAGGTGCACGTGGTGAAAGTGAAGCATGTTTGAAAGAGATCAAACAGAAAAGGGGTATCTTATTATTCAAATAAAAGCAAAGGAAGGTATTTGTGTATTGAAACATCCACCTGGAACACACAGACCCATTTTTATGGCCTTGTTCAAAATGACCTCCACACCGCGTACCCACCGCTGCCTACCCACCCAAAGGAGAACGGCACTCACGACACAAAAGGTTCCCTTGCAGTGTTACTGGTTGGTAACGCAGGTGCCTGTTGCACTGACACATCTCGCTCACCAGCCAACACCACGTCAAGCCGGGAGGTCCACGCTACCACCCTCCCACCGCACAACACCCCAAGGGCCTCGTCCCTAACAGCCAACCTGCCAGAGCCGGAGCAGGAGGAAGAAGGAGACTGAGACGTCTCCTGGGATTCCTCTCCGCTGCTGCTCTGAAATGCCTGCTCTTGACAGCCCAAGTGGCTTGAAGACCACCTCAGGTTGGGCAGCAAATAAATACTTTTAAGCATTTAGACACTGTAGTGATGAGCATGGTATAAATAGCAGCAAACAGATTTATAGTCCTCAGAAACCGCTCAGATTGTTTTCTGTTTGAAAGAAATGGAAAGAATAAAAACACAGGCAATAGATTTGTGCCTGCTGAGACTCATTTCCCCCTGCTCGGCAGCCGCCCCTCGGCAGTGGTGGGGAGAGAGGATCCTGCGGCCGGTCCCGGGAGCCAGGCTGAGGTGGGGAGCAGGGGCTGCTCGCTCTTCAGGGCGATGAAGGGCCCCAAGTTGGACGTAAAGGCAGGAAAGCAAACGTGTCTGCTCTGCCCCATCCACTTCCCACAGCCTCACAGCAACTGGCTCTTACCACCGACTCTAAAGAAAGACCAGATTGATAAAGAACAAAAAGAAAATCCATAAAATGTGGAGCATAACCACTGCCTAGCTCTTCACATGAGGCACATTTGCACTAAAAACATGACAGTCAACGTTACTGGGAGCAGCTGTGACAACCGTCTCAGAGATGCAAATGCTGGACTAGAGGCAGAATTGCTCCTCCAAAAGACCAAACATGGCACTCGGCGCCCGAGGCTGTGGGATCCACGGCCCATTCACGAACTCTAAGGCATACGACACCAATATTCCGGTTTATGTTTTGATGTCACTCAAGAGCGGGCTGTGGAGACAGTAAATGCCTGCATGATAATGAACGCCTTCTGCTTGACGGGGAGGATTCAGTGACTCAAGACTGTAAACAAACAGCAATTCCATGTTGACACGGGGCACTGCCACTTCCACTGTGTATGCCCGAGGCACCGCTATCAGACAGAATACTTCATGTAGATCTGAACTCTTTAAGATTTTAGCAAACACTTTAAAAAAAAAACCAAAAAAGATATGGCAGGGGTAGTCCTGACTGCACCACGCAGTCCCCACTGGGATCCCCTTTTATGTGGAGGTTTGGCAAACTTTGAGAGACATTAATAGCGCATGGAAGATCTATGCTAGGCAACATATTTTGAATACATTTATACACGGTCTTTAGTTTTTTACATTGATAATAACTTCAGTTACCTGGAAAGGGTCTTATCCTGCACAGGCAGACGTGCAAGCACGGACTGGGAAAGTCAAAGCATAGAACAGTGCGTGTGAGACGTGCTACAAAGAAATCATCTTCATCTGCATCCTTAGGGAATGCAGACTCAGGAGTTTTGCAAATTCATTGAAATTATCAGCCTCTGCAAACATTAACATGATTTTATTAGTCCACTTTTTCAAGTTTACTCCTGTTTTTTTTCTGTATTAAAAAAACTTTAAAGTAACATTTTTGTTTCACAAAGGAAAACAACTCCATTAACAAGACTAACTCTACACATATTCTAACAAGTAATGAACTTGCAAGGGAAATGCCCATTATGCTAATTATCAGTGGGTGCTACAAATTATCCAGGTGCTGGACATGAAAGTATTGCACCAAAACGTTTTCAGTGGAACTGCCATTCTATCCTTAGAAGTGATCTGAAAGGTAAAAGGAGGTTAAGCACCCAAATACCTTTGAAGACTTGAACTGAACTCTTAATTTGGGTATCTAACTCCTATTGATTGGGAGCTGATGACAGGACTTTAAATACCTTTGAAGATCCTGTCTGCCATGCTTTTTAAGTTTCTTTGTCATGAAAAGAAATGACCTTAAAGATTTTCCATTTCTTTCCTTTAAATGCTATTAATCCTTCTCTCTTTCAACCAGTATTGTAACTGGGATTCTTGGAAGACACTTTAAATAATACATGAACAGACTTTTGTGTTTTATTAGGGAAGGAAAACTTCTACGAAAGAAAAACAACCTTTTTTCTTTTTAAACATAAATTCTACAGCTATTTAAGAGAGGAAAATAAAACTCCAACCATTTTTTTCACTGACAGACTACTGCCTCCTTTGACCCACCGATACGCAGACAGAAGTTTAAACAGGGGTGACCTTTTCCCACATTTTGTACAGTGTTGTTGCCACGTTGGTGAGATACTCCACCTGCCAAAACTTACACAAAGTGAATACTAGGGATGTTTCACAATATTTTTATTATGCAAAATCACAGCAAATATAGTAATGCATGTTAAGGGGATAGATCCTGCCACACTTGTTTTTTCACCTGGATTTAGCAAAGGAGCAAAATGGTATTCAAATTTAGATGGCTATCTTGTAACAAAACTACCAAAAGCAGCAACCATAGACTTTGAAAATCTATGCTTGAAACAGAGTCAGGAGAGACTGCACTGCACCTTTGGAAAAGATGGATTGAGAAACATACTAGTTGGCGACTGCATTATGACCAAGTGTAAAAAATTAATTCCTTAGAGTCAACATAGCAAGAAAGAGCAGACCTTTGATACCCTGCTGAGGAGGGGTCCTTACGATGAGTTACGACCAAAATCAGTAACATTTTGAAACATGCTGAGGGCTCTCTGCTCCCATCACTGCAACGACACTGGAGGATGCTCAGCAGTGGTACCCTGGACCAGTTGGACAATACCTCACAGAATTGTGCCCGAACAATTGAATCAAGAAAGCACTTCAGTGATAACAGGTTCCCCCTGGGAAATTACTAGTTAAGGAGGGAAAGAAACAGGAATTTTAAGATGCGTGAGGAACTAGGGAACAGGAGGGCGGGGGACTGATCACAGCCTGTGTTGAAAGGGGAACATTAGGCTGGAGTAAAGGTAGAAGATCTTGGGGGCTGTCTTTGGGACAGTTCTCAATCTGATTTAGGAATTAAGAGCTAGGACTGGATTAATGACATTGGTTGATTACAAAGCAGGGAATCTTAAGTCAATACAGAAAATGATTAAAATACTATCTAAGAAACTGGACCACCTTCTGCTTTGGAGTAACAAAAATGCAAACATTTATACTCACAGATGAGAAATAAAAAAAGCCTAATGCTAACTGGAATGGGAACCAAGAAAAACTACCAGCATGATGTGACAGGAGGTTGAAAGAGCGAGTATTATTTAGCATGGCAAAAACTAAAGCTGTGATTTTGTGACTTCTTTTTAAGAATATGTTTGCAGCTAAATATCCGGGGGGAAAAAGAGCACGATGTTTAGGATGATAATCAAACCATTACTGGAATTTGAAACCACTTCCTCTTAGGAATAATGAGGTCCAGGAAACCCAGTGATTAAGATGAAATCTGGTAAAATAATGGGATTATATCACACAGTCGATGTGACAGTAAAGGTTCACGGACCGGAAGGGACATTCTGGGTCTTGGATCCCTACATCAGAAATGAAAGATCATAATTAGGCTTCTACATGGGATTGGTTTAAATGAGCTTTTCAGGAAATTGAAAGTGAGGTGCAAATGACCTCAAAGGAAAGAACTTTTTCTATGGGTAGCATAAAGGGAAACTGGTGGTGTGGTTTCTGTTATCTCTTTCATCTTACGAAGCTTATGACCCCTTAAGAATAAAGATTATTTTCTTCCTTAATTTATGCACTGTAGCTAAGGTTCCTGTTGTATCACCAGTATTTTTTAAATGACATTCATTCGAGGAAAAAGCAAGGGTTGCCTGCATATCCCCCAAAATTAAGACAAGCAAAATGTTCAAACCTTCCTCATATCTATACAGTAACCTGAGCAAAGACGCTTTAAAAGGCCAGCGACACGAGGACCCTTCCAGATACAGCAGTCGTGGTCTCGCTGAACCGACCTGGGGGGGCTACGCAGAGTCAAGAGAGC